AGAGTGTACAATTGATTCTATAATTAATAAACTTCATAATTAACTTGCACAAGGGTGTATATACTTGATCTGCCGCCCTTTTATTAGCCAAAATCTATGCGAATATGGGACTACAAAATTTGAAAAAAATAAGATTTTTCTTTACTGAATTCAGATTTATATATAACGTTGTTTTTTTTTTTTTTTGTATTTTACAGGTTATCAACCCTTGCTGGGTGATTTAAAGCCGAAAAATAATTTTTATCGTAAGAATAATTCTATTACTTTACTATTAAATATTGCATCAACGTTTGTTTAGAATAACAATGGTTTTTCCAGAGTTTTTTAACAGGAGCAGAGGTCCATCCCTTGTTTCCTGTTTAGGATTGGGTTTCCGGTTCCTTCTAAAATCTAATTCAAATCGAAACTTCTAACATCTACGCATGAACTCTTGAAAATTTTATTAATCATCTGTTTCTCCTCAATAGGAGTAGATAGGTTCGACTATCGCTCGGTTCACACTCCTCCCCACTATTTTGAATATGATCAGATATTTATCCTTTGTTTCCTGTTTAGGATTGGGTTTCCGGTTCCTTCTAAAATCTTCTCATTCTCTTTCACTCTCGGTAGCCCTTTGCGTCTTAGTGGCAAAGGGTCAATCGCCTTGGTCGAAGTGAATTAGGCTTACGGCCACATCACCGAAGTTAAGCCTTGTCAGTACATAGATAGGTGGCCGCTTGGGAATGCTGTAAGTTGGATGTGCGGGTGGTGTAATGGCTCGAAATTGTTAATCGAAGAGCCGGAATCAAAATCCAGTTGGGTTCGTCATATTCACTTACACGCAAATCCCCCTAGGAACGGTATGAATCCACTTCCCCATAGCTATGTGTTAATAAGTAAGACTCGTGTCACTAAATCATTACCGTCTAAAGAATAAAACTCTTATACTCTAGAAATATTTTCTGGCTTTAAATAACCTGCAAAGTGTTGATAAGCCGTAAAAAAAACAAGTCAGTCAATTGGGATGAATTAATTAAAAAATGTTTAATCCATAGATTGGTGGTAAACGAAAGGGTTCATGCTTTCCCCAATGGTACTTGGGCGGATATGAATGCAGAGAAGCCGACAAGAATGTGAAATCGGCTCTCAGATTTCTAATTCTAAGCCACTCTCATACATCACCCACACATCCACTATAAGTAATTTTAAGGCCGAGTATACAGTGAGTTCTCTGAGTCCGTAGGATCGGCCAAAAATATTCCCTTAGAACCCGCATAAACGGGTTCATAGGCTGTCTACCTCCCTGGACGAAACTTTGCCCTTCGGCAAAGTCTCGGCCGTGTTCCACTCTGCTCAAGGTAGAGAGTTCGACAGTAACGAACAGGCTGTGGCACTGTTAACCCCAGTAATGTTAATAATTTTAGTTATCATCATTTGATCCGAAACAGGGCAAAATTCATCTTTTACCCTCCAGCGTGTTGATCGTCGATTGTTACCACTGACAATTCATGTATCAAGCATCTCCACCCACCGGCTGGGGTCAGCTCAGTTCAAACCTGCAATTCAAACCATGACGGGTGTGGTGCGAAAGTAAGGTCAAGCCTATTCGGGCACAATAATTAAATGATAATAATAGACTGCTACAGGATGTTCAGGAAGCTGGGAGGTGAAAAGACCGTGAAGAAAAAAGTGTTGAAATAAGAGTAAACATAAAAGTCTTACTTGAGAAAGACTTGTTATAATATTACGGAATTAATAAAATACGCCATCTTTTTCCCAAAGGAAAATGGAATAATAATATATATATATATATATATATATATATATATATATATATATATAATCATTTATTCAAAATTATAACAAAAAATGTTATAAAATCACTAAAAAATATTTTGTTTCAATACTTCTGGTGTCTTATCAAGGATCGTGTTGAAGACACCAGAAGTGTTGAAACAAAATGGCTATTTTTGAAGGGATTTTATAACATATTTATGCTATAATTTTCGAATAAAAAATTATATTTTCTCTACTTTGTATTGAGCATTCTTTTAAGAATAATATTTGTTGGTTATTGGAATTTATTCCCTATACACCAATCCTATACTTGGATATATATATATATATATATATATATATATTGAAATCCCATATTTTGTTAACTACTTAATATTATCATGAGTCTTAGGTTGAGCCCTGTAGGGGAAAAGGTGGTTTTTAAAAAACAGCGGCTCCTACTGCTATTAAGCATTACCCTTCAAGTAAAACTGAATGAGTTCTATGAGCCACTGGCGTATTTTGTATAGAGAAAAACGTTAAAATTCCCTTCCTTCCCGCCGTCTAGAGGTAAGAGATCTGACTGATGTCAAATCGGGTTTTGAGCTCGCCTTAAAACAATCGGACGTCTATCTACACTGAGGAGCTCTGATAAAGCGAAGCAGTCTGCCTGTAAATGACTATATATATATATATATATATATATATATATATATATATATATATATATATATATACAAAGACTGACCAAAATTTATGGTAAAAAAAATAAAAAAATAAAAAGACAAATTAAAACTACAGACAAAAGTTCATTTTCTCCATCAAGACATTTATTTCTGTAGTTCACAGCTACCAGCAAGCAGAAAATTATGTTTCTCCTGATGATGGCCATGTTGGCCGAAAATAATCGAGGAATCTAAATGAAATAATGATAAAAACGAAGTAATATTAATATAAAACCAAGTGTGTCTGAAGTTTTGATTTTTTAACATTTTTTGTTATTATATATATATATATATATATATATATATATATATATATATATATATATATGTGTGTATATAATCAAGAAGAAAAACCTTAAAGATTCATTTTGGTTATAATTTATTTCGTGAATGTCTCTATATATGGATAAAAGTCCAGAAATTGTTTCCATTTACTAAAAGATTTCGATCTGAAGAGATGAATATAGAAATATTCACGAAATAAATTATAACTGAGAAAAAGTTTTCTTCTTTAATATTATTATTATAATGCTCTGTAGTTTACGTTGAGCTCTCTCTGGATTAATATCCTCTTTAGAATTATCCTTACCAGTCACAAGTTGGTAAAACTTTAGCAGCATATTTTCTTTGCGACATGTTTCACTTAATAATTTAGACAAGTTTTGTCTACTTATTTTCAATTGGATCCTTTTCGTATTCACGAACGAGCTTTTTGAGGTTTTTAAAGGTAGACTAATTAAAGATAAAGCGAAAATCGCCGTGGTTGGTAACCAGTCTATCTTAGAAAGAAATGGCAACCTACTGTGGGAAAATGTTCTACCACGTTAGTCATTTATCAAAAGAAACATGGTCGCCCCAAAATGTATCACGTATAGAACCTAACTGACTGGCTGATCAAAGTTTTAATGAATGGAGATAGATTTCAAAATATACATAACGTTCTTGACGACAGTAAAATATTAACATATAGCTTCCTATGTCAATAAATTTATATATTTTTTTATTTTACACTGTAAAAGGCTGTTGTCTTTTTTTTTTTTTTACTGAATCAAGTTGAATGTAGTTTCGTTCCTTTTTAATCTTATATTGAATTCATATTTTATAAATTACCACTTATTTTCTATTGTACAGGCTGAGGAGAAATTCTCACGACATGGCTTTATTTCTTCCTATTCTTCCTCCTTGCAAACATCTTCAGTGCCTACCCACCCCTGTTAATTTTTTTTTTTTTTCTCGCTTTTCCTCAACTCACGTTCCTCAGCGAGACTTCTTTGTCTTCCGGGCATTTCAACAACGATTTGATCTGTTACACGAAATCGAGTTAAAAACTTCTTTTCTTTCCGACGTTCCATTTTTTTAAAACTCCTTGATCTCCGCTTATCATTATTAATACTTGCGAAAATGAGTGGCTGCACTCGCCATCATCATCATCATCATCATCATCATTATTATTATTATTATTATTATTATTATTATTATTTCTGTCTTGTTATTGTGTTTGTTAAAATTATTGTAATTATTGATGTAACTTTTTGTGGTGGTCACGATGAGGGTTGTAGAGAAATAATAATAATGGTGGTGATGGTGGTAGATATTTGGGCGGTGGTGGTGGTATAATAGTGATGGTAATGATGAGGGTGGTGTAGCTATTTATGGTGGTGAAGATTGTGGTGTTGGAAATTGTGACGACTATGGTGGAGGTGTTGGAGATTGTGGTGTTCACAGTGGGAGGGGCGGAAATTATGTTGATGGCGATGCTGAGTGTGATATCAAATCTGAGGTATTGGGGGTGAGGTGGGGGGTTGTAGTGACGATGGTGGTGATAATGGCGGAAATTATGGTGATGTTGAGGATGGTGGTGGTCATGACAGAGATTTTAGGGATGGTGGTTGTGGTGAAGATTGTGGTGGACGTGGGGGTGGGAAAATGGTCATAAAGATTACAGGTATTATGGTGGCGTAGATATTGGAAATGATATTGATGGAGGTGGTGGTTGTTAAAGTTGCGGTAATGGTGAAACTTATGATGGTTGTGGTGGTGATGTTTGAAAATGTGATGTTGGAGATAGTGGTAGTGGTGGTGATGGTGGTAGTGGTGGCGATGGTGGTAGCGAGAGAAATTGTTATGATGATGATGATGATGATTATGATAATAATGGGGAAACGAGTAGGTCATGATGGTGGATGTGATGTTGGTGGTGATGGAGATTTTTATGGTGGTGGTGGCGAAATTGGTTGTGGTGGTTAAGTTGAAAGTGGAGAAATTTGTCATGTTAATGACAATGGTTGAGATATTCCTGATGGTGAGCTTATCGGGGGCGAGGGAGGTAGTGATTGTAATAATGGTGGTAGTGGTGGTTGACTTATGGTGGTGATGGTAGGGAGAAATAGTGTGTATTGATGGCGGGTTTATGCAGATTATAATGGGGGAGTAATCTCGATGGTGGGTGTAAAATAGTTATTCAAATAATTGTGGATATTATGGTGGTGGTGGTGGTGTAATCGTGATGCCGTAAGGAACATGATTATTCTATCTGTAATAGTGGTGGTGGTGTTAAATAGTGATTGTTATAATGATGGATGCAATGGTGGTTGTGGAGTATTCGTGATGCCGTAAGGAAGATGTTTATTCTAGCTGTAATGGTGGTGGTGGTGGTGGTGGTAAAATAGTGATTGTTATAATGATGGATACAATGGTGGTGGTGGTGGTGGTGGTGATGGAATATTTGTGATGCCGTAAGGAACATGGTTATTCTATCCTTAATGGTGGTGGTGGTGGTGGTTAAATAGTGATTGATAAAATGATGGATACAATGGTGGTGCTCCTGGTAATGGATTAATAGTGATGCCGTAAGGAACATGGTTATTCTATCTGTAATGGTGATGGTGGTGGTAAAATGGTGATTGTTATAATGATGGATACAGTGATGGTGGTGGCGGAGTAATCGTTATGGTGTAGGGAACATTGTGATTCTACTTATAATGTTGGTGGTGGTGGTGGTGGTTAATAGTGATTGTTATAATGATGGATACAGTGGTGGTGGTGGCGGAGTAATCGTTATGGTGTAGGGAACATTGTGATTCTACTTATAATGTTGTTGGTGGTGGTGGTGGTTAATAGTGATTGTTATAATGATGGATACAGTGGTGGTGGTGGCGGAGTAATCGTTATGGTGTAGAGAACATTGTGATTCTACTTATAATGTTGTTGGTGGTGGTGGTGGTTAATAGTGATTGTTATAATGATGGATACGGTGGTGGTGGTGGCGGTGTAATCGTTATGGTGTAGGGAACATTGTGATTCTACTTATAATGTTGGTGGTGGTGGTTAATAGTGATTGTTATAATGATGGATACAGTGGTGGTGGTGGCGGAGTAATCGTTATGGTGTAGGGAACATTGTGATTCTACTTATAATGTTGGTGGTGGTGGTGGTGGTGGTGGTGGTGGTGGTTAATAGTGATTGTTATAATGATGGATACAGTGGTGGTGGTGGCGGAGTAATCGTTATGGTGTAGGGAACATTGTGATTCTACTTATAATGTTGGTGGTGGTGGTTAATAGTGATTGTTATAATGATGGATATAATGGTTGTGGTTGTGGTGACGGTAATATAAGGTTAATTATTTTAATTTAATCTTTTTTACAGTAAGGTTCAACTTTTAAAAGGCCCGCTGGCCACTCAAGGTAGAGTATTACGTTAGGTGGCAATCTGTGCGGATAGGTGTGGAAGATAACGATTGACTCTAGACTTGAACAGGTTAAGATCGTAATGATCGGGGAAACCTCCTCTTGGGAGACAGTTCCACAGAGCAATGGTTTGTGGGAAGAAGCTGTTCAAGTGGAACTTACTTCTCACCGATGAAATACAGAGGGAATGTGGGTGGGGTTGCTAAAATATAAGTGGTATGGCGGGTCCTAGCCCTGAAGGTTAGAACTGGTGGGACCAATGAATATAGTTCTTCCGAGCACTTTCCGTGGAAGTAGCGGTAGAACAGCAAGAGGTTCTCTCCATCTCCGCCTATGGGAGAGAAATTGGCGGGAGATGAAGAATTCCTCATCCACATGGGCTCGGATATGCTGTTGGACTCTATCAACATTGGAGAGTTAGGTCTGGTTATAACTGAGTCGATTATTATTAATAGTAAAAAAACATACTATTTGTTTCTGAGGATCAAGTGACAACAAGTCACGCTCCAGCACTTTCCTCAGTATTGTGTTTCATCCCATCCTGATACTGTCATTATTTTAAAACTTTCCGACAGATTTTACAAACAATTCTTCTCTTTCTTTATTTAAACTGGTCGTCTGAATGCAAATCTTGTTCCTTCATTATTTTTTTTTAATTTGGCCTCTGGTCACGATTGGTCAATATTAAAACCCGCTTAATTTACCTTCATCGTTGAAATAAAATCGCTTGCACAGTTCCCAGAAAGTAATTTTTTCCTGCCCAGTCATGTATGCTTGCTTAATTCGCTTCTTTCAAGCCATCATAGAAATTCAGAATATGAATTTATTAAATACCAAACACTTGAAATGCCTCGGCGTATGGATCATTTATAACAAATTTACCACAAGTGTTAAGGAAATTGAATATACAAATGGCTGCGTTGGACGTAGTTTCACTCAACACCGCAAACTGCAACAAAACAAAAACGTTAACATGAAAACTCGAGTCATGTCCTTAAATAGCCTCATCATGTTAAGGCTATTTAATGCCATATGGCGCCAAACCCAGAAATATCTAAACTGTCAGCAGTTTGCAGCCGCTTTCTATGATCAAAAGTGACTATGCGCGAATGAAGCCCGTGGATCTTACTGAAGACCACACTTCTTTCAACCTTGTGAACTGGCGCTACATAATCAAAACAGAGAATTGTATCAAATAACAGAAACCACATCACTTGAGGGCTACCAACAGCATCAAAAACTAAAGTGGATAGAACATGTTGAACTTAAAGAGAAAATAATGACACAATCAAGATGTTGACATTCCACACCCCTTCAAATAAAAGCTTAGGAGGGAAACCTCCCATCACTGCTGGAAAGATTTAACAGCTACTGGATTTGTGAAACATATTTATTTTTTTGTTTTAAGGGAAAGAATTGTGGAGCGAAGACTGAAATAAACACGAAGACAGTCATGTTGCCGCTCGTTCCCCTTACTGATTTTCTCCGTCTAGAGACTTTACTTAAATACTCTTCAAAGGGATCACGAAGCATGTTTTATTATTATTATTATTATTATTATTATTATTATTTTCAGCGGGAACCGTCCAATTGGTTTTAAAATGTTAAATACTTTTTTCAAAGGATTAATTTATTAACCAGAAGCATGCGCGATCCCCCGACTCAGAAACCATTTTTCGTCATTTGATGATTGACCGTCTTCGCATTTATTTCCGTCTTCGCTACACAGATTTTATAAATTTCAAACGAAAATAGTACTGACTGCTAGGTCAATGAATGCCAAATGTTTCCTTAGAAGGAAACGGCTAATATTATTAACATCACTATTACTGTTCTGTTGCCTTTCTACACCTGGACGAAAATTCACTACCTCAAGGCAAAAATCTCTGTCTTGAAATTTTTATTTACTTGTTTGTTTTTGTTCGATGGTTGTTGTGTTTCTGACTGATTTTATTTCTTTTGTTTTTAGGGGGTTAGCGTAGTGTTGTTTATCTGAGTGTACTTGCAATCTCCATTTTATTACAATTCAACTGCAGATCTCACTTGTTTTTCTTTTATTAGTATTCTTTAAACTAAACGTATTTTAGGATTACCTTAATCAAAAACCTCGGCTATTTAAAGTTTATTTTAAAGCATACGTGCTCTGGTGACATTGGGAGATATTGCAAAGGCGCACGAATTCAGTATATATAAATGGTGTTTCATTAAGACGGATTATATATTAAGTGTGTTTCATAGATGAGAGTGTTCATAAGTTAGTAGTAAATAGATCAGTGTCAATGGTGAAAATTTATTTATTTCTCTATTGGATCAAGTTATTTAAGTCAAGGCAATTATGTGTGAAAAATAATATCGCCCAAATGTCCGCCAAATCTGAGAGAAAAAGAAAAAAATCATTAAACGCTGAAACTTAAAGCAAACGGATATGGCCTCGACAGAGACTCGAAATCGGTCCTGCGGTTCCGTTTTTTGCTCGTAACCGTTACATTTCTATTGCTTCAAGTTTCTCCTTCATCTGTGAGAATAATGTTCAACATTTATTGCCATAGAGGAAGATAGATATTACATAACAGTAAAATATTCTTTTCTTTGCTGTTTCTTAATACTTTGCTTAGCTTTTGGAAGGCATCTTTTGCTTAAACTTAATTCACATGACTATAACTATATTATGCCTCGCAAGAGGACTGCAGAGGAGCGAACGAGTTGACTACTATACTTAGCCGACAGACGGACGTGCAACACTTCTGTATTCGTTCTTTTTGTTAATAATACGTTTTCACTGAATTACTGAGTTCGAGTTTTCTTTCGGACCTCTTCCGGGTCCACAACAATTTCCATTCATTTTTCATTTCTCCTTCAGCTGTTCTCCTTTTGTTTCTTTGCTCTCTTTCTACATTTTCTTCTTCCCATTTCTTCATTTCTCTTCCTTCTTCTTATTTATTTCCTTCTTTTTCCTTCCTACATTTCTCCCTGAATTTTCTGGGTTATTTTTTTCTTTATTTGCTGTCTTTTTCTCTTTACAAAAGTTTCATTTCTTTCTTTTTCATTCCTTTTACTTTCGTCCATTTTTTTTTTTCTTTCTTTCTCAATAATTTCAAAACATTCGTTGTTTTTTTTGTTTTCAGTTGTTTCTTCTTTACTTTTTGTGTTTTTTCTTTTTTTTTCCTACGTTTTCTTATTTTTTCTTTCTTTTTTTTTTGCTGTCTCTTTATTCATCCTTCATTTATTCACTTTCTTTTTCCTTCCTATACTCCTCCCTAATTTTATGCCACATTCTTTCTGTCTTCTACTTTAGTCTCTTTCTCCATTTCCTCTCTTTTTTTTTCTTTCTTTCTTTACGCTCTTCATTTCTTCTTCTTTCTTCTCGTAAATGTTTTCTATTCTTTATTTTTCATTCCTCTTTCAATTATTGTCTTTTTAATTATTTAGCTATTTCTTTCTCTTCCTACGTTTAGTTTTTCATTTTTCCTTTTTTTTCTTTTTTATTCCGACACATTTTCTAATTATCTAAGTTTTCTTCTCCATTTTCTTTCTTTCTTTTTTCGTCTTGTTCCGTTTCCCTTCTTTTTCATTTTTCTCCTTCAATTCATCTCTGTCGACGTTTTATTCTTTTCTCCGCTTTCGTCTGTCAAATACTTTCTTCATTCATTCATTTATTTGTAATGTACTTTTCTCCCTTCATTATTTTCTTTCTTTCTTCATTTCTTTATTTCTTCCTTTCATTTTCTTCCATTTCGTTTTTTTTCTGTTCCTTTTTTTCAAGGTGAAATCATCTTTCTTTTTTCTTTACAACTTTTTCTTTTCAAAAAACATTTTTTTTTTTTCTTTTTTTTTTTTCATTTTTTTCTTTTTTATTTTTTTTTTTATTTCATTTTCTTTTTCTTTGTTTCAATTTTTTTTTGAGAGAAAATTAATTTTTCTTTTCCTTTTTTTTCTTTTTTTCTTTCTTGCTTAATTTTCTTTCTTTGATCTTCTTTTTTTCTTTTTACCTCATTTTTACTTCAGTCTTTCTTCTTTTTCTTTCATTCTTTTTTTTTTTTTTTCTTTTCATTTTTTTTTTTTATTTTATTTGTTCCAAAAAAATATTTTATTTCTTTCTTTTTTCTTTCTTTCTTTTTTTTTTTTTTTGATTCCTTTGAACCCCTTCATTCCTTCAATCCTTCCTATTTTTCTTTTTTTTTTTTTTCTTTTTTCTTTCTTTTTTTTTTTTTTTATGGTTTTTTTTTTTCTTTCCTTTTTTTTTTTTTAATTCAAAATTCTTTTTTTCTTTTCAACCGAAGGTTCTTTTCGTTCTTTCGGCTTGTTTTTTCATTTTTCTTTTTTTGTTGTTAAAAAAATTTTTTCCTTCCTTCCTTCCTTCCTTCCTTCAATCCTTCCTTCCATTTTTATTCAAATTATTTTCTTTTGTTTTCTTTTCTTTTTTTTTCTTTTTTTTTCTTTTCTTTTTCTCTTCTTTCTTTTCATTCTTTTTGCACATTTTTTTTTTTTCTTCCTTTCTTTCTTTGTTTCCTTAACTGCTTCATTTTTCCTTTTATTTTATCTTTCATTCCCATTTTTCTTTTTTTCCTTTCCTTTCATTTTTTTTTTTTTCTTTTTCTTTGATTTTTTTTTTCTTCCTTTTATTCTTTTTTTTTTTTCTTTTTTCCTTTTTTCTTTAATTGCTTTCATTCTTTTTTTTTTTTTAATTTTTTCATTCTTTCTTTTAAAATTCTTTTTCAAAAATTTTAATCTTTCTTTCAATTCTTTCTTTTTCCTTTCTTTTTTTTTCCTTATTCCTTCCTTTTCTTCCTTCTTAATCTTATTTCAACACTTTGGGCATTATATAAAACGTTTAACTTTGATAAAATTTCTTAAACAATCGAAATTTTTAAATAATCAACTAAATATTTTATTTTTTTTTTTATATGAAAATTATTTTTTATCAGTCATTTTTTTTTATCAAAAGGCTCAAACGGAAATGAAATGAAAAATATACAACTTTTCTTTTTAAAAAAGAATTAACCTTTTCTGTTTTTTTTGAAAACCACTTGAAATATTTTTAATTTGATGTCAAAAAACAAAAATTTTTTTTTGTTAAAATTTTTTCAAATATTTTTTAAACCTCGTTAAAACGAAGAAAACTTATATTTTCCACAGTTTTGTTAAAAATATTTCTGATTTAATTTCATTGAATGCCTTTTAAAACTTTTTTCATGTAGAACCTTCTTTGATCGTCTTTCTTTTATTTTTTATAGCAATATAACAAAAAAATAAAAAATCCATATTTTTTTTTTAAAAAAACAAATAAATTTTGAATTTTTATTTTTTTTTATTTTTTTTTTTTTTTATATAAAATTAATAACTTTCATAATAAAACTTTTTCCATCAAATTTTTTTTCTTTATTCTTTATTTATTTTAAAAATTATTTTTTTTCTTAAAATATTCTATTGTCATTTTTGTGGAGTTTTTTTCAAAGTCAAATAAATATTCTTTTAATAACTGAAATTTCAATTTTTTTTTAAATCTCTCTTAACAATAAATTTTTTATTATTTTTAAAAAATCTTTCTTCTTCTTCTATTATTTTTCTATTATTAAAAAAAAATTATTTCAAAAATAAAATATAGAAATTTCTTTTTTTTATTTTTTCAAATGGAAAGTTTCAAGCATTTTTTTCTTTCTTCCTTTTTCCTCTTCTTCAAAATTTTCTTCTTGGGACAAAACTTTTTTTCTTCTTTTCTTCAAAATATCCTTCTTCTTCTTCTTTTCAAATTCTTCCTTTTTTATGTCTTTACTTTTCTTCACTTTTTCTTTTTCATTCCTTTTCTTTTTTAATGCTTATTATTTCTTTTTACTTTGTTCTTCTTTTATTCCTTTTTTTTTTTTTTTTTTTTTTTAAAATATTTTCAGTCTTTTCTTCTTTTCTTTAAACATCTTCTTCCTTTATTCTTCATTTTTTTTTCTTCTTCTTTTTTTTTTTTTCTTTTTTCTTTTTTTTTCCTTAAAAATTTTTGCTTCTTTTGAAACTTCAATAATTTTCTTCTTTTTTTCTTTCTCTTCTTTCATCAGGAAAATTTTTCTTCTTTTTTTTTCTTCTTCTTCTTTTTTTTTTAAATCTTCTTCTTTTCTTTTTCTTCTTCTTTCTCGTTTGAACTTCTTTTTTTTCTTTTTTTCTTTTTTTCTTTTTTTCAATTCTTTTTTCTTTTGCTTCTTTAGAAAAAAAAATTTCTTTTTTCTTTTTATCTTTAATTCTTTTTGAAAACTCTTCTTCTTCCTTTTTCTTTTTTGAAGGTTTTTTTTCTTTTTTTTTTCTTGCATAATTTCCATTTGTTTGGCTTTTCTTCTTCCTGAAAAAAAAACTTTTTTCTTCTTTATTCTTCTTCTACTTCTTCCATTTCAGACTTTTTTAAGAAAATCGTAAAAAACATTCTTTCGTTTAAAACAAGTTAAATACAAAATTTTTTTATTCTTCAAAATATTCTTTCTTAAAATAATGATAAAATCATTTTATTTTCTTCATAAATTTTTTTAAAAAATAATTAAATTTTACCTTTTTTCATTAAAACTTAAAATGAAATATTAATATTAATAAAAAAAAGAACAAATATTTAATGATCAATTTGAAAAATTTTTTTGTTTGATTTAACATAAAATCAAATGTCTCATGAGATATGGAATTTTTTTTTCTTTCTCATTTTTGTTCTTTTTTCCATAAATTTTTTATGAAATTAAACTAAAGAATTAAAGTCATTTTTGCCATATATTGGACAATAAAAAAATTTTTAACAAATTTTTTAAAAGTATTTTTTATATTTTAATTTTTCAAGATGTCAATTTTGGAAAGTTAAACAAGATAAAAACTTTGGAAGAAAAGTTCCAAATTGTGTGAAAAAACGATAAATTTAAATTTGTTAAATCATTCTTTAAATAATTCGCTCAGGCTTTAACCAATGTAAAAATTAGATCAAACCGATAAGGCTAGTTCCTTTTTTTTTCATTAAAAAGTTAATGCCAAAAAAAGGTGTTGTTGTTGTTTTTTTTTCAACATTTTGTTCTCATTGTTGTTGTTGTTTTTGTTGTTTGAAAAAAAATTAATTTTTTTTGATTCATTTTTCAACTTATATGCATAAGAAATTCTGAATCCTAATTTTTGATAAAAATATTAATTATTTTATTATTATATTATTATTAAAATTATTCCAAATAAACAATATTTTTTTATGATATAAATTTTATTTTAATTTTTTTTTCCCATTTAATTTATATGTTATAAACAAAGGAACCTTTTTTTAAAATTTATATTTAAACTTTTTTTTTTATTTTATTTTATTTCAAACATTATTATTATTAAAATTATTTTTATTTTCTTTGATTTCTGGCGTTTACATTTCTTTCCGGGTCCCGCCTGGGACCTAAATGTTAGAAATGGCATCATGACACTTTCCACTGACAAAAAAAAAAAAAAATTACATAGATAAAGCCCTTCGTAAAGTGTGGGCTGTACTTGTCAGAACAATTTTTTGTATCTCCTTGAGGCATGGACTTCCAGGAATCCCTTCAATTAGTCTACTGCAATCTTTTCCAACCAGTCCTAGGGCTCCAACTTAAAACAGGGATTGTTGATGTTCCCATATGCCACATTTTCGAGATTTCTATTTCAAGGTCCTTGTATTTTGACAACTTTTGAATATCTTCAAAGATACATTGCAGTCAGCAGGGACTGCCATATCAATAAGGAGGCACCGTTTTTTTTTTGTGGTCTTTAATAACAATATCTGGCCGGTTGGCCTTGATTGTTCTGTCAAAATTTTTTGTTCAGTCCCATAGAAACACATAAAGGTCCTTATTATTATTTCAAATTATTATTATTATTATTGATTATTATTATTTTTAAATATTTTAATATCATCTTGTTACTGTTTTGAAAGAATTAACAAAAAAAATAATTTTTTCCCTACCGGGATTTATGACAAAAAATTTCTGTTTTTAAAATTGTCAAAATCTATGTGCATTTGGAACGTTTCGTTTACATATATAATTTTAAACATTCATTATCTTATTAAATTATAAAAATAGATTGTGTGTATGTGTGTGTGTGTGTGTTGTGTGTGTGTGTGTGTGTGTGTGTGTGTGTGTGTGTAACGTTTATATATTGGATCGGATTTCCTACATTTTTTCAACCGATTTCAACAAAACTTCACAGGACTACATAAAATTACCTTGTGGTGGTTCTAACAGCGCCAAAAAATTGAAAAATATAATTGTTTTTTTGCACAAAATCAATTTGAAAACACGATTAAGAGACATCGTGAAAATGGAAGGGGACAACTCACATCGGGTTGTTTGTGTGTGTGGGTTACTTTAAATATGGGGCGGATTTTCCTATATTTTTCAGCCGATAAAACAAAACTTCACTTTTTTTTTTTTTTTTTCTCATTTTTTAGTGTTTCTTATTCTCTTGCACACTTTTTTTCTTTATTTTTTAACATTCAGAATGCTTTAAAAATTCCATTTACAAGACAATTGTTTATAATAAAATCTATTCAATTGTAGACTCATAACGATTGAAAACAATGTTTTGTTTGAGTTTGGGTTTGACCAATTCGTAAAAAAAAAAAAAAACTAATTAAGACATGCGTGTCCGTCAACCTTAAACAATAATCTTTGTCAATTTTATTTTTCAGTCTTTATGATGGTCGATAAATTCTCTATCTCTTACTGTTATATAATGAAATCTAACATACTCAAGCTCTACTGCTAGTTAATATTATTATTATTATTATTATTATTATTACTAATATTCACACCGTATATAATCATAAATTTCCTATTTGAATTTTTTAATGACTGAATAAGACCTGTTAATTCCATGACAATAAAACACCTAAGAAAACTTCCATTTTTGTATTTAAATATTTGCAAACACCTTCAAACAAAATTCAAATTATTAATCACGATCCTAAATATAATTTTTTTTGATTATTTCAATAAATAAAATCATAAAAATAAAAAAAAAAAATTAAAGAAAGACTACTCACTTTTTTTTCATCAACAAAACTTCAAAAAATTTTTTTGCATTATCGCCTCCTATTGTTTCCTTTCTTTTTTTTTTTTTTTACTTTCAGAATGCTTTTCCCAAAGTTTCCATTTTCCCAAACAACATGTTGATTATTCTATTTTCTTCCGTCTGACTACACAATCAAACAATGGAATGGACCATTTTAAACCGTGGCAAAAAAAAAACAAACTATTAAGACTGGTCTCCGTCAAACAGTTAACAATGAATATCTTTATTTTCATTGGTTAAAAATATTTTTTCCTTTTCTTAATCTAAGTTACATTTAGAAAATCAATATTTTACATCCTACTGTATAGGTTGGACAAATTTTTTGTGCTCCCCTCGAAAATAAAAAAATGATTAAATATTTTAAAATTTTTTGATTTTCCTGTTTATTCTTAATTAAAGTTTAAGAAAAAGTCTTTATCTAGTGGAATGCTGAAAAGTTCTCGGCCCGATATAAATTACAGATTCTCCCTAAATGAAATTTTTCTTTGTCTTAATTTTCAATTATTTTTAATTTTTAAACTTAACTAAGTTTTGGAAAAGGTTTCTTCAAATGATAAAATCCTTTGTTTTTTTTTTTTTTTTTTCTTTAAAAACACAATTTTATGTTTTGTTCAAGAATGGCGTATTTCACATCTGTCCGAGAATGAAACAGGAGATGTCAGCCATTCTTCAAATGAATGAAGCACCGGCAACATCCGGCTAAAAGAATTTTTAAATAAAAAGAATTTAAAAGGACGATAGATTACGAAACTAAACATTTAAATGGCCTCTTGGAAGTTCATTATATTTGTGATAGTTTGGAAAATCTTTTAGGGGTCTGGTATGATTAAAATCAGAAAATTTCTATTGTTTTATAACAAAAAAAAACGAATCATTGGCTTGAATATCTGAAATTTTTTTTCAAATTAAAATTTTCAGTTGGAAATTTCCAGACTGATTTAAAAAGTAAATGAAAATTTGTTTACAATAAATCCATCCCATCTGAATATTTATATATATATATATATATATTCAAATATATATATTTAAATATAAAGATAAAACTAATTTATTATTTCTGCAATTTTTTTTATTTTAAAAAAAAGTCCAAATTTAATTCACCCTAAACTTCTGTTTGCCATTGGTAAAATAAAAATATGAAAAAATGGATTAACAAAAATAAATAAATTTTATATGGATTCTAAATACTTTTATATGTGAAGATATATATTTAAAATTGACGAATCTCCCTGAAGATGATCTTGGAAGGAGATAAGAAAAATGCTCCTTTAGTCAATTAAAAAATTTTTTGAAATTATCTATGAAAATAACGGATTTTATTAAAAAAAGCAAAAAATGTCTCTAATTTATTTAATCAAACATGCCTAAAATAAAATTTATGCTGACTAAATACACACATATATATATAAAATATATATATATATATATATATATATATATATATATATAAATTTATATATGATAAAAAAAATTTAAATTTTAATTAATGACATAAAATTTTTAAGATAATATTTATATCTCGTTTTAAAATAATATATTTATCAATATTACATATAAAATATATTTTGAAATACTAAATAGTTAAATTTATTCAATAAAATCACTGTTGGATTATCACGGCCTCCAAAAACCCTTAAAATTTCCTGCAACTAGTCATAGAAATTCTCCATTTTTATAGGTATATGAATATATATATAATGTTGCCTTCAGTTCATCTTTTTTGTTACATATTTTGTTGGTCTATCTTTCAACTGCGCCCACACAATATAATCAAGGGAGTTCGAGGTACATATATTTTTTTAAGGGATGATGTGGTTGCAGAAATTGTCTGACGACCATGAACTTATTCTCCTGCTTGTGTGAACATGGTGCAAAAAAAGTTGCTACTTAATGCTGTAATTCCAATTTACACCTTCTTGAACTGTTGCAGGCCTCCGTGTTGAGTTATATTTAGGCCTGTTTATTGAAGATGAATGTTTTTTTAATGTCGTCATCGCTTGTGATCACTTAAAAAACCTGCGTAATCACTGATTAACTCATCCAACTCTTTCCGAATCCAAACTGTAAATTAAAATTGATCTAAACATTCTGAAATGTTCAAAATGTTTTCTTTGGTGCGTATGGCATTTAAACCTTATGCCGTTTCTGAAAATGAAATAAATTATGTTATTTTAAAAAAAAAATTAAATAAAGACGGTGCCAACTGATTTTATAATGCAACATTTAAAATAAAAAAGGAATATGCATGCACAATTTATTAAATATATGAAATGGTTTAAATTTATACATCGAATTCTGTACAAACACAAAAAAAATTTATTTTACACACACACACTATAATATATATATTTGTGAAAAATATATATTATATATATATATATTTATATATATATATATATATATATTATAATATATTTTATATATAATATTTTTAAAAAGAAAATATACATTTATATAGAGATAACGGATTGTGAGTTATTTTTTTAAATCAGATCAATCCATTTTATATTTAAATATTTATATATATATATATATATATATATATATATATATATATATATATATAAATTTATTAATTAATGATTGGTGTTTATAGAATTTTCAATAAAAACAAATACTATTCTTAAAAGATTGCTCAATTGATTTTATTAAAAATATAATTATTTATTCAAAATTATTTCATAAATATTTTTGTTGAAAAATTTTACAAAATAGCCAGTTTGTTTCAACACTTCTGGTGTTTTTTCATCAAGTGATAGTGTTGAGAATTTTGCCATCATTAAAAATTTATAATTTATTTCACTAAATATATAATATATATATATATATATATATAATTATTAATGAAAAATTTAGTTTCATGGTCAATTCAGAAACAGCCTGTCCTTGATATTTGTAATAGTGTTTCTTTTGTATATATTTTATATATAAAATGTAAAATTTTTTTTTTCAGTTATAAAGATATTTGAGTAAATGTTCCGTATATTTTAATGATTCAAATATTTATCGAATTTTTCTTTAAAAGTAAAATTTGAAAATTTTAAATTAGTATGCGAAACGTTTTCGACCTTAAAAATTGGAATTCAGCAAAAATAATCATGGGTTTTATTGATGAAATTATATATGTGCAGGGAAATATTTAAAATATAAAACGTAATCATTTTTAATCCACTTGAGAACTGTTTTTCGTCATTTTTAAATTAATTTTTTGTGATTTCTCATTTTTCAATAATTTTAGCTCACCTCTTATCAATTTCAAAAGGGAATTTTTGTAAATTTGAATCATTTTATGTCAAATACTTTAAGAAGAAAAATTTTGTAACCAAATCATTTTGTTAATTGGTTTATATATATATATATATATATATATGTTCTTGTCTCAGTTACCATAAAACGAAAATTCCATGAATCCCATTAATAAATTTTTTCGACAGATAAGTTTTAATATCTGCCTCTCTGACCGAAATTTCAAAATGGTTTAAATTTATCCAGACAATATATCTTTTTTCTATTCTTTTAAATCAAAAAGTAAACTGTTCCTAAATGTCTTAATTAAATGACCTGAAAAAAATTTCCTGGGGTTTACATAAATATTGAGAGACATTGGGGGAATATAATATATTTAAGCATATGTCATCACATATATATAAATATATATATATATATATAATACATATATAAATACATTGAAATTAAATAAATGTTTATATATCTAATTTATTTCATTTTATATATATGGCCTAATTTATCATCATATATATATATAAAAATGGTAAATTAATATACATATAAAAAACGTTAAGAATATTTATTTAAATATATAATTCATTTTCATAATATTGAAAAAAATATATATATATTATATATATATATTATTATTATAAGATCTTTTAATTTTAATGAAATTTTTTTATATATATAAGATTTATATTTATATATATTTATAATATATTTATTAAATAACCTATAAATGAGAATGTGAATGTCAAAATTTTTTATCAAATATTTTAGTTTTTTATGTCTGACTAATTTTTAACGAAAAAAATATTTACATAGCATCGTAAATATATTTGATGACGTTAAAAATCTTTTATGTTGATACATCTATTTCTATGTTTTTTTAATAAATATGGTATTTCTTAATGTCCCATTTTAATATATATATATATATATTCATATATATATATATATATATTTTATATATATATATATATATATATATGTGTTTTTGTGTTATGTAAATATATTATATATATATAATTTTAACGATATTATGAAATATTCTTATATTATATTTTTATATATTTTTATATTATTATATATTTTATTTTTATAATTTTTTATATTTTTATATATATATATATATATATATATATAAATATATATATATATATATTTATATAAGATAGGAGAAAGAGAGAGATCAGCAAACACCTAAAATCCATGGGTGATATTTTGTAGTTAAAATGTTCATACCATTTTTTTGCAGTTTTTTTTAAAAAAATTTGCATATTTTCCAATGAAGATATTGTGCCAAAAATGTCATGCTGTATTTTATATTCAGTAGAATAACACCAGCAACCTGATACAAGAAGAACAGATCAATTATTTCTGCATATTTATCACATAATCTGAATTTTCAGGTTAACAAATTTTTTCATACCTGTTTATTATTTATAATATTATTAAATGTTAGCTTTGTATACAGTGAAATGTTACTCCCTTGAAGCATAAAGATTACTTATAAACATACGTACATTCACGGCGCCGACTCCTCTTCGTATTCATATTGCTTACTCCTTATGCTTAAAGTATGCACCATTTTGTCCCCGGTATCTCCCCACCAGCACTAGATATTTTGAATGTATACCCCAAAAGGATATAAATGTTTTAATAATTTTGAACTTTGAATCTACATACAATTTAGCGTTCCTCCCATGAGATCCAGTATTTAAAAAGAAACAACTGCATTAAGTGATTTATTTCCCATTTGTGTCTGACGAGTTGGGAAACCATGAAACTCTCAGTTGTACGATAAGCGTAGGTACACGTAGATAGATAGATAGATAGATAGATAGATAGATAGATAGATAGATAGTGATTGCAAACATAGGAATTGAGAAATTGAGAAATAGAGATATATAACAGATCCTGATAAATCTAAACAGATAGATATGAAGAAACCAAGGAGAGAGATATAAAGTAACAGTGATAGATAGATAGATAGATAGATAGATAGATAGATAGATAGATAGATATGAACAGAATGATAGATAGATAGATAGATAGATAGATAGATAGATAGAAATGAACAGTTAAAGATAGATAGATATGAACAGAATGAGATAGATAGATAGATAGATAGATAGATAGAACAGAATGAACAGATAGATAGATAGATAGATATGAACAGAATGAGATAGATAGATAGATAGATAGATAGAACAGATATGAAGATAGATGATAGATAGATAGATAGATATCAACAGAATGAGATAGATAGATAGATAGATAGATAGATAGATAGAATAGATAATAGATAGATAGATAGATAGAATATATAGATAGATAGATAGATAGATAGATAGATATGAACAGAGATAGATAGATAGATAGATAGATATGAACAGATAGATAGATATGATAGATAGATAGATATGAATAGAATAGATAGATAGATAGATATGAACAGAATGAGATAGATAGATAGATAGATAGATATGATAGATAGAACAGAAGATAGATAGATATAGATAGATATGAACAGAATGAGATAGATAGATAGATAGATAGATAGATAGATATGAACAGAAATAGATAGATAGATAGATAGATATATGAACAGAATGAGATAGATAGATATATAGATAGATATATGAACAGAATGAATAGATAGATTTAGATAGATAGAATGAGATAGAAGATAGATAGAGATCTAAAAAATGAGAATAATAGATCTGCATGAACTATTTTTTTCAATTTTTAAATATTTATTTCTGATGTTAATAAATACTTTTTTTTGATTAAAACTTTTCTTTTAGATTCCTTTTCTTCTCCTATGAATATTTCCTCTTTTTCTCTCATTTTTTTTTCTTTTTTACATCTAATGCATTTTCTATATTCTAATCAAAGTATCCATTTATTTGTTCTTTTTTCGAACTCTTTGGGTTCAAAAAGTCGAATAACGCCTGTTATTTCCCGTAAACATGCCCGGATTTTTACCGTCAAAAAAACACAAGATAAAAAGAAATAAAAATTAAATAAATAAATCAATAAAAGCAAACTTCAGTTTAAAGATCGGTCGTGGTAATCAGATGCAACCCGGGATCAAGTATCTCCTTCGTGTGAGGTCTTTATGATATTGTTTTAAAAAAATTATTTAGTTATGGCAATTTTTTTTTTTTTATACTTTATTCCTTTTTTGTTCCCACTTACATATTTTTTTTTTTGTGATTTTTTCTTTTCTTTTTTTTTTCTGACACTTTTTTTTCCCTTTTGTTGGGTCGGGAGTGAAAATAATTTTCAAATAAATATTTTATATTTACCTTATCATTTCTTTATTTTTTTTATCATCCCATCTTTTTTCTTTTCTTTTCTTTTTCTGTTTGACGTTTCTTCAAATTTTGCCGCCATTTTTGACACACGTTTTTTGTTGGTTGCTGCTGCCGGCCAAAAGTGGTGAATGCGTACACAACTCAGACAAGATTGAAACTCCTCACGTCTCTGGGCAACATTCTATTCCGACACATGAAATTCAATCCATTAATCTCTTTTTTTTTTCTTTCTTTTTTTCATATGTTCGTTCGTTCTTTCTGTCTTTTCATCTGCTATTAATCTTCCTTTCCTCCTTTCTTTCTTTCTTTCTTTCTTTCTTTCGTATGTTCTTTCTTTCTTTTCACCTGTTATTAATCTTCCTTTCTTCTTTTCGTTCTTTCTTTCTTTCTTTCTTTCATATGTTCGTTCGTTCTTTCTATGTAAATTTTTCATTTATTTTCTTCCACCTCCAATATTTTTTTTCTTTCTTTTTATTTTTTCTTTTTTTCTTTCTTTCTTTTATAAACAATGTTCTTTCCTTCTTTCTTTTTTTATCGTTCGTTTTTTTTTCTTTTTGTTTCACCTGTTATGCATCTTCCTTTCTTCTTTTAAATTTCTTTCTTTTTTCTTCCATTTTTTCTTTGTTTTAAATTTTCACCTGCTATTAATTTTTTTTCTTTTAGATTTTTTTTTTCTTTCTTTTTATATCGTTCGTTCTTTCTTGTCTTTTTTCTGCTATTAATCTTCCTTTTAAATTTCTTTCTTTTTTTCTTTCTTTCTTTCTGTTGTTCTTTCTTTTCTTTTCTTTCTTACGTTCGTTTTTTCTTTCTTTCTTTTCACCTGTTATGAATCTTCCTTTCTTCTTTTATTTCTTTCTTTCTTTCTTTCTTCCATTTGTTTCTTCTTTCTATCTTTTCACCTGCTATTAATTTTTCTTTCTTTCTTTTTTTCTTTTTTCTTTCTTTCTTTCTTACGTTCGTTCGTTCGTTCTTTCTGTCTTTTCATCTGCTATTAATTTTCCTTTCTTTCTTTCTTTCTTTCTTTCTTTCTTTCTTGCATTTGTTTCTTCTTTCTATCTTTTCACCTGCTACTAATTTTTTTTCTTTCTTTCTTTACTTCGTTCGTTCCTTCCTTCCTTCCTTCCTTCTTTCTTGGCAGGGTTAGGGTTATTAGTCCTTCTTTCTTTGTTTCTTTCGTTCTTTCTTTTCACAGCTATTAACTTTTCTTTCTTTCCTTCTTTATTTCGTTGTATTGTATTGGGTTTATCCTCTTTCTTTCTTTCTATCTTTATTGTTTTTATTTATTTATTTATTTGTACGCAACCTTTTACTTTCTTTCTTTCGAACTTTTTCTTTCTTTTTCAATCTTTTTCTTTCACATTATTCCATTTTTTATTCTTACATTATTTTTCATATTATTATTCATAATTCCCTTATTTTTCTTCTTTCTCTTATGTTATTATTAATTTATTTATCTTTCTCTTCTTCTCTTCCCCTCTTTTATATTTCTTTCTTCTTTCATATTACATCGGCGTTATCCTTCTTTTTTTCTTTCTTTTTTTCTTTCATTCTTTCTTTCTTGCTTTGGTTTACGACTGTATTACGCTACAACACCGGTTCTTGTCCGATCACCAAAATTACGCAACATTATACCCTAGATGGGCAACCGCTTGGGATACCAGATATGGTAATTCTGGTACGATGGATAATGGCCCGGAACTGGAAATCAGATGATTCGAGTTCCATTCGAGTTCGTTACATTTACTTACGAGCAAATACCCTTTGGAAAAGCAGGAATCCTTCTCGTCTCCCCGCACTCCAGATATAAGTTAATTAGTTGGACGTTTATCTGTAAATATTTATTGTCTTAAAAATGATTACATTTGAAAAATATTTGCTTAATTTGCCTTAAATAACCTGCAAATGTTGATAAGCCGTAAAAAATGAAATCAAACTTTCTTCTTTGTAGTGTATCGATTTTTCTCCTCCTTTGTTTTTTCCTTCTTTCTTTTTCCTTTGAACTGCGACGATTTTATCCTTCTTTCCTTTTATCTTTTATCTTTTCCTTGTTTTGTTCTTTTTCTTTTTTCTTTCTCCTTTCTTTTTCCTTTATATTTTCTTTACAACTTTTTATTTCTTTATGAAAAATAATTTATTTTTAGCTCTTTTCTTTTTCATTCCTGACAAACTTTCATCTTTCCTTTTTGTTTTTCCTTTATATTTTATTTTTCTTGTTCCTGTCTCTCACCCTTTATTTTTTTATTCCCTCTCTCTATCACTCAATATAAGTGTCCCCTCTCTCTCTCTTTGTCTGAAAATCTCTATCTATCTATCTCTCTCTCTCTCTCTCTCTTGAATGGATATATATATATATATATATATATATATATATATGTATATATATATATATATATATAAAAGAATTGTTTGAAACACAAAATATAATTTAAATTTAATTGACTCATTAATCAATTTAAAAAAATTCTCGTTCTAATATAATTTGAAACCGATGATTTATTCTCGCTTGAAGCTAAACGTCTTATTGGGAAAATTAGAAAAAAACTCAAAATAGAAAAATTTTCTTCTTTATTTCGTTGTATTGTATTGGGTTTATCCTCCCATGCTTTATACGATATAGACAATTTATCCTAAAAGTATTTATATATATATATAACTATATATTATATTCATGGCTTTGAGTAAACACTATATTCTCAATCTTCCTTCTTTTTTTTTTGGGACCGGACATTTTATAATATTTATTGTTTGAGTCGTTTTCCATATATTATCAATGTTTTAAAGATATTTACATATATATAATATTTTTTCTAGATTGTATTATTTACGTTTAGATAATACATATATATATAAAATGACACTCTCTTGCTAATTAATCCATAGCTTGGGGAGAAAAGTATACCAAATCAGATCTGCGCGTAAGTTTTTATAAAAATTTGTGTTTTAAATTGGAATTCATTTCTTCGATTAATTCCGACCAATAATATATATATATATATATATATATATACCCTATATATTCACCATATTTTAAATCTATTAATCTCTAATGTCGCTTGTTTCTTCCCATTGTCTGTCACCATTTTTAAAAAATTGAAATATCTATAAGAAACGAAAGATTATATGTCTTATATATATATATCTATATGTATGTGTATATGCGTTGTTAAATGTGGCAACGTTTTAACGTTTTAAACGTTATTTTAATGGTAAGTAAATGCTATATAAATAATAAACAGTATTAAAAAATTGCTTTTTTTCGTCTACCAGTTCATTTAAGACATTTTCGTCTATGACATTAAATTCATTTCTTTCATTCATATATATACATATATGAATGAATATATATTTATATATATATGTGTGTGTGTGTGTGTGTGTGTGTGTGTGTTATATATATATAGGATATGTTTATTCATTCTTAAAATTTATAAGCAGTAAAAGCACGTCGAACGCTCATAGGATGCAGGTTCAAATCCTGTCAAAGGACGAATATTTCCTATGAACATTTCTCGGACATTCAGGCCGGTAAATGTTGTTTAATACTGCTTATTATAAACAGAGCATTTACTTAAATATTTGTATCTATAAAAGAATATATATATTAAGACATATTTATACATTCTTTTTATAGATACAATATATATATATATATATATATATATATATATATATATATATATATGGTCAACGTTTGATAAAGATTGTCAAATGTAACCAAAGCTACCCTTACATCTACTCGAACCCAGCTCTTCGAGAATAAGCAACAGAAGAAAAAAATCATCAACCCACCACGAGACCGCCGAAAATTGACACATTTTTTCTTAAAAAATAAACTGGACAAAATCTTGACTTTTTTCCTTCAGTATTTTTCGATCATTTAGTTATTCAGTTATCTGACATTTTGAATTATCCAATCATCTTTTTTTCAACCTTTGGCCCGCGATGTCCGGATAATTGCGAAAGTACTGGTACATATGAAATTAAATTCACGCATATATGAATCCGAATGCTTTAAATGATAGATTTTCGATTTACCTATCTTGTTTTGTCCCTATCTATTTCATCCTGACTCTGTCACTCTTTCAAGGCTTTTTGTTAATATACGTCTGTTCGTTCTTTGTCTCTCCTTAGGCCAACAGCTAGACACGCGGCCGCACATGCGCATTCAAAAGCGCGGCTACATTCTCGAGTGTCCAAACTCGTTTCTGTACGATGAACAATGAGCTGCGAACATTCTTCGACCATCTTTGAAGTGGACATCGTACCAGTTTTGACCCTTGTTGACTGTCGTGATATTTTGGAAGTCGGTTAATTTTAGGTTCACTGGGTTTGGATAAAAACCTTTAGATTCGGCCATTTTGTTAGTTTTAGTTTTGTTGTTGTCTTTTGTTTTTTTGTTTTTGTTTTTT